GAAGGAAGGAAGGAAGGAAGGAAGGAAGGAAGGAAGGAAGGAAGGAAAATAAAAGGGAACAGTTTTCAACTATGAAGCCAAGAGCAGTAAACACTTGGGATCCTAGCACTCAGGAGGATGGAGAATCTTGTTAGAGGCCAATCTGTCCCAAACAGTGAGACTATCTCAAACAATAACACACACGAATGCGTGTGCAAAGAGATGAATGGGTTACATACATACAGTAGAAATACTGATCATTTACTAAATTGGAATAAATTATATACATAATTATATACATGGATGGATCTTGAAATAATTCCCTTCAGGGAAGCTTGACCAAAAACGAAGATATATTCTGATTCTGTGGTTTGGATTAGAGTAGCCCTCATAGGTCCATAGGTTTGAATACTTAGTCCCTAGTGGGTGGAACTGTTTGACAAGGATTAGGAGGTGTGGCCTTGTTGGAGAAGATGTGTCATGGGAGTGGGTTTTGAGGTTTTAAAACCCCACAATATTCCCAGTTAGCTTTGTCCCTCTGCATCACGTTGGCTGTTGTCTGAAGATATAAGCTCTCAGTTACTGCTCCAATGCTATGCCTGCTGGCATGTTCTCGCCATGATGGTCACAGACTTACCCTCTGCACCTCTGATTCCCACTGAACTGCTTCTTTTATGTTGCTTCAGTGGCTGTGCTTTGTCACAGCAACTGAGAAGTAACTAAGAAGGAGTCCAAACAGATGTCATACATATGCACACTACAGTAACAAGGAGATCAGTGCCTGGAGATGTGGGGTCAAGGACAGTGACAATGAAACATAAACTTTTCAGCGATGAGTATTGTCAAGTATTGATTATCGTAATGGTTTCATAGATCATGAAACTCAAATTTCTGGACTTGAAATATCTGCACTTTATTATACATCTTACAACCAACAAATTGTCAGTTTTAAGTTGATCAGACTGTGTTGGCAAGGGGACTGAGGAGACTGGTCAGTCTGTAGAGTGCTTGCTCCACTAGCATGAGAATCTGGGTTGGGATATCCAGAAGCCACATGAAAGCTAGGCTAGGAGGCATGTAACTACAACCTCAGTACCTGGGCAAGGAGGACCTGGGGGACGCGGGATCAGTCTATCTCCAGAGCTCACTGACCAGACAGCCTCGCCTAATCGGTGGGCTCCAGGTTCAGTGAGAGACCTTGTCTCAAAAAATAAGGTATAGACACTATAGAAAGGCACTGACAATGACCTTTGGCCTCTATCTACAAGCATAGACAGGCACATGTGCCTGCATGCATATATGCACACAAATGTGTATATATATCAGACACAAAAATGTATTCTTAACACACCTGTTTACAAAAAGCTGTGGGGAACACTGCAGTATGATGTAATGTACACTGCACAATGTAAGAATGTAAAAACGGACAACATGGGCCAGCGAGATAAGTCAGTGAGTACAGCATTTCCTGCCAGGCCGGTGACCTGACTCAGGTCACCAGGGGCCACAGGCATACTCAAACACTAATAAATAAATATGGTAAGTGCTTTTGTAAAGGACAACTTTTGTTTGGCAGATTTTACCAAATATTACAAATGCATACAGCCTTTATGCCAAGCAATTCCATTTGTAAGTAAGATTCATGAGAAAATTAAGCAACAAGGACATGTTGTAAAAATTAAAAGGTTTATCAGCAGAGGACTAACTTACAACTGTGATAAATTAATAAAGTGGAACACTGAGGCTGGAGAGAGGGCTCAGTGATTAAGAGCACTGGCTGCTCTTCCAGAGGTCCTGAGTTTGATTCCCAGCAACCACATGGTGGCTCATAGTCTTCTATAATGGGATCTGATGCCCTCTTCTGCAGGAAGACAGAGCATTCATATACATACATACATACACACACACATACACACACACACACACACACACACACACACACACACATACATACATACATACATCTAAAAAAAATAAAGTGGAACATTATGTCTAAAATAATAAAGAAACTCAGAAAAATACCAGTAGATAAGGCAGAAGAAATGTCTATCTACATTTTAAAAGAAATCTTTCATTTTCATTGCTATAAGAAACATGACAGCAGCACGTGGTAGAAACCCACTAGCTTGGCACAAAATGAGATGAAGTGCTCTCTCTCTCTGTCTCCTCTCCCTCCATCCCTCCCCCCACCTAAATTATTCATCTTCCTTTGAATTTCAAACCACTCAGAAAAATTTTAATCCAGACTAGGAGGCTCCACTCTTTTGTGTAACTCGTTGGAGGGTCTCATGTAGCCCAGGCCTTGAGCTCCTGATCCTCCTGCCTCCAGCTCACAAGTTCTGGGATAGACATGTACCAACATTTCCAGCTTTAAAGCAAACGTTTTAAACTTAGGTTTCCTTCTGTGCTAAGCAAACAAGCAGGACCATGTGCAGTTCAGCTGTACGGTACGTGTCACCAAGACTAACGCCCTCAGCTTAACCCTCAGCAGTCGTGCTGACTCCCACTTACTTACATGCTATAGAACATGCGCACACAAATAAATATAGCTAAGTGTTTTTAAAGAAAACATTTTAAAGGGCATTATTTTAGCTCCTATAGTGACTGATTTTGCTGAGCTTTAGTTTGAGTCTATTTACCATATAGAGATGACAATGATTACACCAGACAATTATCCCCCTAGAGTTCCACTGAAAAATTCCTCAGAACATAAAACAAGGTCACAGCAATCCTCCTGCCCTAGCCTCCAGAGTACTGGGATTACAGGTGAGCATCCTTTAAAACTACTTCTCGGTGCTCCATGTTATTTTTCTAGCTTTATTTTCCTTTATTTTGCTTCATTGGTGATGAAATTGTGTTGTTAAATGGTACACAATTTAGTAACCACCACCACTGAGCTACACTCCATCTGGCAATTAATTGTATTTAATAATAATACATGTGGCAGCCATTGTAATGCCTTTAAGTGGGCTGCTCCCTTTTCTTCCCTTTTCCTCCCCTCACTCTTTGGTGGGGTAGGGAGCAAGATTTCAACGGGCAGTCAGGCTATCTACACACTCAAATCCTGCAGACTCAGAATCACACATGCTAGAGTTACAAGCATGAAAAATCACTGGTTTCAAAAGATAAATGGTAAAGGTCAGCGCCAGCTGGGGTGAAGCTGGGTGCCAGTGCTGCTGAGAGCCTGCTCAACCCTAGAGATGCTGAAGGGGAGACTAGGTAAGGAAACAGAACACACAACACTCACCAGTAGCACAGATGGCTTTGTAAAGCAAATAAATACTCATTAAAGCTCTCGATGGGCTTCTCCTGTAACACGTAGTCGATGCGCTGGCCTCCATTCAGCATCCCCACGTGGATGGGAGCCTCCTCTTTAACTTCCACAGGAGGCTCTTCTGTGGTGGCGTCTGGATACACAAAAGCCATTGTAAAAACCTAAGTGCAGGACTGGACAGAAAACTCTGCTGAGGTGGCTAACTGCTTACCCTGCAAGCATGAGGGACTGAGCGCCTGTCACCAACACCCAGACACCCACACAGAAAGCTGGACATGGCAGCGGGAGCTAAAATCCCAACACTAGGGAGGCAGAGACGGGAAGATCGGTAGCCAGTTAGTGAGCTCCAGGCTCAGTGAGAGACCCAAGTCTAATAAATAAACTTAGTCTAAACGAACTAAGGCAGAGAAAAAAAGGAGGAAGACACTCTGGCCCACACATACATGCATACATGTATACACATACATATGAAGATGTGCACGCACACACACACAATCTATGTGAAAGATTCTACACTCCATCAGATTCGCGTTTACCTTATAATGAGGTACTCTGTTCAGAGTTCTCTTCGGTCTTCTCCTTCTCAATTTTTTAAAAGTTCCTTGAGTTACACTAATTTTGTTCAGTTTCTTCTTTTGATCAACACATCCCATCACCTGGACATCCATGAGTCAGGTGTCTTGAATTTTATAAACTAAATGCAAACGGAGACAGACTCTAGGAAGCTGAGTATCCTAGGTATCCTAGCTAGTCCTCAGCAATGGAAATAAAAGTGATAACACACACACACATTCACCTCATAAAAAGTAAAAAGTATAAGAAATCACTCAGCAATTAAGAGTACTTACTGTTCTTGCAAAGGACCCAGGTTTAATTCCCAGCACCTCCATCAAGGAGGTCATAACCTGTAACACCAATACCAGGGGATCCAGTGACTCTGTCCTCTGAAGGCATCAGGAACGCATTTGATACACATATATACACACTCAAGCATGCACACACATACATAAGAGTAAAAACAAATGTCCTTAACAGAGAAAGGCAATGGGGCTGGGGCACTGGCTAGGTAGGTATGTGCACTTGCTGATCTTCCAGAGGACCCAAGTTTAGTTCCTAGCACCCATGTTGGGCAGCTCACAAATGCATGTACCTTCAGCATCAGGGGATACAGTACCCTCTTCTGGCCTCCACTATTCACACAAACACACAAATTATTTTTTTTTTAAGTAGGAACTTAAAAGAGTAGGATTTTGTTTTGCTTTTCAGGATAGGGTCTCTCTATGCAGCCTTGACAAGCCTAAAACTCATTATGTAGATCAGGCTGGCCTCAAACTCAAAAAGATCACCTGTCTCTGCCTCCTAAGCAGTGGGATTAAAGGTTTGTGTCACCATGCCTGACACAGAGTAGGCTTTTAACATCATTCCCAAATCTCAAGTGGGAAATGTTTCAAGGATAGTTAACTGCTTCTCTTGACATTTTCCTCCTCACACATAAGATTTCCCCCTACTGTTTAGCAATTAAAGTGACAGGGACGGTTAGCATAGTGCAAGGACAACTTTGACTCACAGAACAGGCCCACACAATTAAAGGGAAAGGGAAGAAGGCCCTGGGAGAGAACTCCACAGCATGGTGCCCTCCTCAGGTAAGTTCTATGTCCTGTCACTGACCACTGGACTTTTCTGAACTTGATTCGGGTTCTGCCTCAGTTTCTTCTGCTGTTTCTGAAGCTTGTAAGGCAGGGTATGGAGCTCTGGTGAAAGACTTCCAGGCCATCCTCAGTGAGCCCAGCAAGTTGTTTTTCAGGTCCATACTCATTCTGGTCAAGCCCTCTCTCAGTTCTGAAACATGAGTGAATAAATAATGTTGTATGGTATCAAGTTTAAAACAAAGAACAGATTAGGTGCATTTAGTTTGTACTCATCAGAACACCCAGAAGTACCAGTTCTCTAACCAACTCACCTAAGTGCATCCGCTTTCTGCCTTTATGGTGTGGGATCAGCATTGGCTCAAACTCGACTCCTGGAACCACCATTGGTTCAATCCTATACGCCACAGGATCAAACTGCATAGGAAAATAACAGCTAACTAGTTACCCCTAATAAAGACTGTGAGGAATTACATATTTTTAGGTAAAAATAACTATGTTTATTTTGTAAAAAGGTACAGTTGTGGACGGAGAGATAGATCAGACCTGCAAAGAGACCTAAGTCTTACCCCTAGAACCTATATTTAAAAACAAACAAACAAACAACAACAAAACCCCTGCAAATGCCAGCACTGGGAAGGCTGAGCCAGGCAGATCCCAGAGGCTCACTGGACAGTCTAGTCTACTTGGCAGGATACAGGACCGGTCAAAGGGAGACCCTGACTCAAAAAAAAAAAAAAAAAATCAAAACCAAAACCAACCAATCGGCACCTGATAAATGGTGCCACAGCTGTCCTTGGGCTCATACACATGAATGAACACAGTCCTCTATCTAATTACTTCCTAGCTCAGGCTGTCCAGTAACTAGTTCTGGAGACCAGGCTGGCCGAGAACTCAAGAGATCCATATCCCCCTAACTCCTGAGTGCTGGGATTAAAGGCATGCACCAGCACCAGCTCCTAATTTCTTTTTCCTAATCAATATTACTAGCTGTCTAGATTCTAAAGAATAATATAGAAAAAGAAAATAAATATAACAAAAAATTATATGCTGTTTGCTAAGAAATCCTAGTATTTAGGTAAAAACATATAGCAGCTATTCAATGCTTACAGGATGGTAAATATTGAAGAAACCTTTGCATGTAGGAAATTTATAATTAGGATCAATTCTTCTTAATCCTCGGACAGTAAGAAACATTCCAATGGGAGATCCAAAGGCAAAGAATATTTCCGGTTTGTAGTTGAGCCGGGGGTACTTTACAGACACCTGGGAGCGGGCGAAAGGCCAGTCCTCATTAGTACTGAGTCGTATCTGTTCCCACAATGACTAAGTAGGAAAAACCAAAACCAACCTGCCCAATGCCAACGTCCAGATAGTCACCATTTTCCTTGGGGATGTTTATCTCAGAAGCTGACATGGCTGGCCTATTAATACCCTAAAAAGAATAAAAAAAACATAGTTTCATGGAAATAGCTGCTAGGGTCAAAGGAAAAGCTTTAAAATGGCAACCAATAATTCTATGCAGAGTCCCTTACAAAACAAGATAAACATACAGAAGAAATGATAGCTGCTGCCTTACACTATGAGCTGACAGCCCCATGTGCTTCAAAGCATGGGGGACGGCCCCATGGGTAAGACCAGCTGCTCTGCCAGAGGACTTGGGGTTGGTTCCCAGCACACACATGGCGGCTCACAACCATCTGTAACTGCAGACCCAGAGAACCCAATGTCCTCTTCTGATCTCCATGGGCACCATATGTACATGAGTACACAGATATACATGCAGTCAAACATACAGAAACAAAACAAAAAAATAAACCTTAAAAAAAATAAGTAAATTCTGGGTGTGGTGGAGCATACCTTTAACCCCATCACTTGGGAGGAGTTAGAGGCAGACCCATCTTTATGAGTTAAAGGCCAGCCTGATCTACATGTGAGTTCTAGGCCAGCTACAACTACACAGTAAGACCATGTCTCAAAAAATATATAAATAAAAATAAACTATGGGAGCATACCCATTTTGGCAGCAGCTGAAATTTCAGGTGACCATATGATAGACAATAGCAGAGCATTGTTGGTAAATTCTATAAAGTGTATGGATCTGTAATGAAGGCAAAGCTGATGTCTCTCTAAGGGTTGCATATAATACAAACACTGGATCAAGACTTGGGTCTTACCAGATGTGATGGCACACACCTTTAAGGCCAGCACTCTAGAGGCAGAGGCAGGCAGATCTCTGTGACTTCCATGTTAGCCAGGGCTACACAGTAAGACCTAGCTCAATGAATGAATGAATGCATGCATGCCTTGTGTCTCAAAAAGGAAAGGAGACTTCTACTAAAAAGTTGAGAAGGAATTAATCATTAAGGCCTGAAACTAGGTACACGTACACACACAGGCACACACACAGGCACACACACACACACAGACAGAAAGGACATATACAGATCTTAATACGCAGTACTTTGCTAAAGGAAAAAAGGCGGTCATAAAAGGCTATATGTTCATAATTTCACTTACATGAAAATTTACTATTATTAAAAAAAAGAAGCATAAGATAGAGGCTGGCCACAGCTGGCAACAGCTGCAGTCATGTGCAATGGAGGATGACTACAAATTGGTATGGGATTTCCTCTGGAGGTGATGGAGAGATGCTAGAATTAGTAGGAATGATTATAAAAATATGAAAGCCTAAAACCAACTGGACTTTATACTGTAACAGGTTAACCATCTGACAGACATGTGATGTGAATGATACTGTGGCAACACTGTTATAAAGATCAACCTGAATGGCAGGAGCACTAGGGAGAAAGACGGGAAACCAATAGCATGTCTAAAGATGCAGATAAAGAAAACATTTAATTTCTAAAAAAGAGCCAAGCCTAATGATGAAAACTACTCCATCAGGTGTGGGCAGCACTCATCTGTAGTTCAAACAATTTGGCTAAGGGAAGAGGAAGCCAGGTATAATGGTGCACACACCTTTGATCCCAGCACTTGGGAAGCAAAGGCTGGAGGATCTCTGTGAATTCAAGACCAACCTGGTCTACATAGTAAGTTCTAGAACACTCAGAGCTACATAAAGAAACCCGAAACCCTGTCTCAAGGAAAAAAAATGCCAAGAGCGTGAAGACAGCTTGAGTAACACAGGGAGACCTCACCTCATCAATACACAAAACAAAGACAAACCAGACCTGGGCTTGGTGCTACAGGTCAATAGTCCCAGTTACTTGGGAGGCTTGAGGCAGTATGATTTCAAATTCAAATTGAAGTCTCCCTGACCTACAAGACTGAGTTCAAAACCAGTCAGGGCAACTTAGTGAGACTCCATCTCAGAATAAAAAGTAAAAAAAAATCAATAGAGATATCGCCCAGCTCTCTAGTGCTTGCCTAGCACAGGTAAGGTCCTAGAGTCCATCCCCAGTATGGAAAACAAACAAAAGCATTACTTGGTTAGCAGAGTGTATATCTCCTGAAGCATAAGGATACGATCAGTGTCAAAGAACTGTCTTACCCCACTAAGCCATTTTAGACACATACCATTGAATTCTTTCTGGCACTGAAATGGTTCAGTATCTTCTTTCTGGGCCCTAAGGGAATTCCCATTTCCTGAAGGTCTCTGTCTGTACATAAAGCCTAGGAATAAGCAACACAACAGGTTTGTTTTTAATTTCTAAGCAAAATAAAATGAATGAAATGCTCTCGACTCTAAAGGAATCAGGCTTGTTCTTGGTTCTGTACTGACCTGGCTCCCTTAAGGTAGAACACACAAGCCACTTTGGTAAACCAAGTCTTGTCTTAATCATAAAATAACCCAAAACGTATTAGTAAAAACTGCAGTGTCAATAGATAGCCATGGAATACTGTATGAAAAAGAACAACCAGAAAAGCTGGTATCTAGTGACAGTCACTTAAAACTCCTCCTGATGCACACAAGCTGTGAGGACATTGGCCAACACAGAAGGATGGCATAACGGGTTAGCATCAAAATCTCAGCCTAAGTGCCACTCACTTTACTGGGGAAGGATGTCCTTCCCTTTGCATTCTGAAACCGCTGTGCACTTCTGTTCATCAGTTCTTTTTTTTTTTTTTTTTTTGGTTTTTCAAGACAGGGTTTCTCTGTGTAGCCCTGGCTGTCCTGGAACTCACTCTGTAAACCAGGCCGGCCTCGAACTCAAAAATCTGCCTGCCTCAGCCTCCCAAGTGCTGGGATTAAAGGTATGTGCCACCACCGCCCGGCTGTTCTTAACACAACTGTGTAATTACCAATAACCAGCTCCGTGTTACTAGGACCCTGTTGCGCATGCCTGACCACAGTGGGCACTTATTAAATACCCGCTAAGGAAACCGATGTATCAAATCAGAAGACAATACCCACAGTCCCGCTCTTCAGCTAACGAAAACTAAGAGACAGGCAGCTCCTGTTCACACCAGGGCCAGCTCCTGGCTCATAGTGGCTGTAAGCTCGGCTGGCTTTAGACCACTCTCTGACACGTGCGCATCAATGTGGCCCCAGGAACCTTGAGCTCCCACACAGCAGAGATCCTTTATTTGATAAAAGCAGATAGGCAATGCTCACCCGTCATCGGTGGGGAGATGCTTGTAAGTAGAAGGCTTCCAAACGGCATGTTCTTGGTAAACACGTGAAGATAAAAGTACTGAGAACCACGCGGTGTAACAGTTAAAAGCATGTTCTTACCAGAGCTTCTTTGTCAACTTTCTCCTTCTCAAAGACAGTGATGAACTCAGAGAGCTGAAGGTTCTTCAGCAATTCTGCTAATGTTGACACATCTCCTCGATCCTCAGCAGTACTCAATGAACCCTAAAAATTGTGTCATAAGGCTTAGTATTCAGAAAATTTGTTTATTTTATTAATACTATTTTATAATATAAGGTATATCATGTAAGATATTTACAATAATGAACCTTAACTCTATCCCTTGCTCTGTTTTTAAGCTAAGGTCTAACGTAGCCCAGGCTGGCCTCAAGCTTACTATGTAACTGAGGATGCCCCTTAATTCTGGATCCTTCTGCCTTAGTCTCACAAGTGTTGGGATTACAGGTATATATCACCACACCCAGTTTTAAATAAAGTTTAATATATACAAAATAAAATAGTGATCTCCAAATTTTTGCAACCTCAGCTAATTTTTTTTTTAATTTTACCTTTTTATTTTTTTCTTTTGGAGACAGTTTCATACATTGTCTATACCTAGCTGGCCAGGAACTAACTAGATAGACCAAGCTGGCCTCAAACTCAGAGATCTACCTGCTTTTGCCTCCCAGCGGATGGGATTAAAGGCCTCTATGCCTGGGAAAAAATATTTTTTAAATTAATATCAAAATCTCCATTATCATTAAAAAGGCCTTAATGAGTGCTTATGAAGAAAACATAATTTAAGATAAAATAGTCAGGGCTAGAGAGACAACTCAGTGGTTAGGAGCACTGGCTACTCTTCCAGAGGACCTGGGTTCACTTCCTAGCAACCACATGACAGCTCACAACTGTAACTCCAGTGCCAGGGGATCCGAAGTCCTCTTCTGGCCTCTGAGGACACCAGTACAAGGATGGTGCAGACATACATGCAGGTGAAACACTGACACATATAACATTTTAAATCAGGGATGGGGAGGCCGGAGAGACGGCTCAGCAGTTAACAGCTTGCTCTCTTGTAGAGGACTTGGATTTGGTAACTAGCACATACACGGTTGCTTACAACTATCTGTAACTTCAGTTCCATGGGATCTAATGGCTTCTTCTGACCTCCGGGGCAGCAGGGACATGCACAATGAATATATACACATGCAGGCAAAACAGCTATGCAGGGGCTAGAGAGATGGCCCAGTGGTTAAGAGAACTTGTTCTTCCAGAGGGCCAGAGTTCATATCCCAGCACCCATATGATGGGTCACAACCATCAGTTCCGGGGGGATCTTATACCTTCTGCCACACATACAAACACATGGGCAAAACTCATATATAGATTAAAAAAAGAAAACAAATCAAAGAAAAGCGGCCATATATATAAAAAATAAATTTAAAAAAAAAAAGGTGTAAAATAGTCTAAGACAGAACCCAAAGTCCTGGAAGAACTCAGAACCCAAAGGTTCACAAGATACTTACAAAAAAAAAGTAAGTTAGAAGATGGTGTCTATCAAATACTAAATCCATCCTATCAGTGGTAAAATGTCCATAGACTTTTTTTTTTTTTTTTTTTTTGGTTTTTCGAGACAGGGTTTCTCTGTGTAGTCCTGGCTGTCCTGGAACTCACTCTGTAGACCAGGCTCGCCTCGAACTCAGAAATCTGCCTGTCTCAGCCTCCCAAGTGCTGGGATTAAAGGCGTGCGCCACCACTGCCCGGCGTCCATAGACTTTTTATGACGAGAGGTTTCATCATCCTGTCTGCCCTTGGCTTTCACACATAACATCTACAAACCACCAAGGCAGGCTTCCGTCCTTACACACTGAGCTCAGTGAGTACAGTTCTAGTCAAGCACCGCAGTGCATATTTACAGAGAGGAGACACATATGCCAGGGATTTGAAGACACCAAACACCACCTTGCTTCTATCATGTAACAATGACAGGACCTAATTACCAGGCTGTCAACATCAATGTACATTTAACATTATGGCATAAGACTAAACAGCTAAACACAAAAGGCTGGAAATCTAAAAATCTTTAGTATGGAATACTACAAAAGAACCTATCTAAACTTCCAAATTACCTTTTCACTGCCAATATCCCCAATAGAATCTTTCTGATTTGTTAGGATATCAAACAATATAAGCGAACCTATAAGTAAAATAGAAGAAGGGACAATTTCTAAGACATTGGCTGTCTGTTATACAAAAAGTTATAAGCCAATTACAAATGTAAGAAAATCAACACAGAGACTCTTTCCAATTGCCCACCACCCTTCCAACCCCTTCCACACTCTCCATCACAGGCTATGTGTAGTTACTGATTGAATACACTGTGATTCAAAGCACGATCATTCTCTCTGGCTACAGAGAATTCATGTGTTACCTAAACTATGACCAGCAATGGATACACCCCCTTTGAAATCAGGGTTCCTCTGCAGAAAAAGTGTATATATTCGGTTCATTTCAGAAGCTACTGTGTCCACAATAGTCTGACAGTAGGTGGGGCTATTGTAGAAGAAGACATCCAGAATTGTATCATTAGTGAAGTGTCTGAGGCGATTGATGCTGGGTAGGGTTATCCGCTGCAGATCTCTGAGGGAGGGAAAAAAAAAAGATATTTTAAGCAGGAAACCTAAATGTAGTCCATTGCCACTTCTAAGTTATTATTTAGCTTATTCTTAAAGCTTAGAATCAAATATGGAATAACAGAAGAGATACTTATCAAGGTGGAGAAAAGACAAAAGTTTGAAAAATATGTTTAGTGAAGCAAAACAAGAGGTGATCAAATAAAGAAACCCAGTTTCTCCAATACAGAAATTATAAAATCAAAACAAAACAAATAGAAGTAGAAAGTTAAGATAGAGACATGCCATGTCATACAGGCAGATCTTGTGACTTCTAGTCGAGCCTAGTCTACAGAGTATGTTCCAGAACAACTAAGGCTACATTTTTAAAAACCTGTGACTCGAATAACAAAACAAAACAAAAAAGATAAAAGAAAGAAAAGGGAGAGACGTCATTTAACTTCAGAGAGCATAGACTTTATTGACAGGCTATCACTTTGTAGCCCAGGCTACCCTTGACCTGTGAGCCTTGGTTGAGCCTCTGCAGTAATGGGATTCCAGGTGTAGAGCGCAGCCATCAGCTTTGATTTCAGGTTTAAATACGTGTGAACCCCTGTGTTGTACAGGTGTATAAACTATCCGTTGGACACTGGAAATTTGAATTTTCCCCATGAGAACTGCTATTTACTCCTGAAGCTGCCAAACTGTCATCAAGGATTCACCAACTGGTGCCCAAGGGACACAGAAGATCAAACACTGACGGGGATTGCCAGGAGTTTGAGGGGTAGAGTAAGTCCCTCCTCCTTCTAATGGCACAGAAAAGGGTCATCCCCTGGCTAGCTCCCTTGCCCATCCCTCACGAACAGTTTTTCTCAGGGGAGATGGGTTGGGGACTTCAGAAGAGGCCTAGCCCCAGGATGGAGGGGAGGACTGGGGAAGAGCACATGTACTGATCCTCAGGGAGCAGACACCGGGAAGGTTGGCTGAACCAGGCTTCCTCTGCCCTAGATTTAGAGATCTGAATGTTAATTTCAACTGCTACTTTCTTCTTTTTCCATCTTTTGAGACAATGTCTGTCTGTATAGTCATGGCCATCCTGGAACTTGCTGTGTAGACCAGATGGGCCACAAACTCACAGATTTGTCTGCCTCTGCCTCCTGAGTGCTCAGATTGAAGACATGCAACACCATGGCCAGAAGAGGGTGTTGAAGCCCTCAGAAGTGGAATTACAAGCTGCTGTAAGCTACATTTAGGTGCTAGGACCTGAACTTGGGTCCTCTGCAAGAGCACTGTTAACCAACTGAACCATCTCTTCAGATATGCTTCCTCACAGAGCTGAGGACTGAACACAAGGTCTTCATCTAAATCCCCAAACTCACTAGACGCTATTTTTTTTTAATTATAATACAATTTACTTATGGTTATTACAGATTTAAAATTGAGTCCCCTTTTCAAAGATCTACTACTGTACCAGTTAAATAAATTATCATCTTTGAGTAAGAAACCAAAAATAAAAAGTAACATTTTAAGAAGAAAAATTATAGCTCAAAATAAATGGTAATTCTTCCTCATTTCAAGAAATTACATGAGCTGGAGAGATGGCTCAGCGGTTAAGAGCACTGACTGCTCTCCCAGGGGTCCAGAGTTCAATCCCAGCAACCACATGGTGGCTCACAACCATCTGTAATGGGATCGGATGCCCTCTTCTGGTGTGTCTGAAGACAGCTACAGTGTATTCACATATAATAAATAATTCCTTAAAGAAAAGAAATTAAACATCTAATGTGAAACAGAAAGGTTAATTATTGGTTACAAACAAATCATGTTCATCTTTTTATTTATTTTAGTTTTTTGATTATTTTGCTTTTTTGTTTGTTTATTTTTCCAGACAGAGTTTCTCTGCATAGCCTTGGCTGTCCTAGGATTCACTCTGTAGACCAGGCTGGCCTCAAACTCAGAGACCCACCTGCCTCTGCCTCCCAAGTGCTGGGATTAAAGGCGTGCGCAACCATTGCCTGGCATTTCTTTTTTTGTTTGTTTTTGTTTTATTTAATTTAGTTTTTTGAAATAGGGTTTTTCTGTGTACAGAGATCCACCTGCCTCTGCCTTCTGACTATTGGGATCAGAGGCAGACATGTGCCACCAGGCCAAGCTAATTATGCACATCTTAATTTAAAAGATAAAAATAAATAAATAAATAAAAAACACTCCTTAATTATATATAGATCTAAGATGAATCCAAGCAGATTTCTAGAGCTAAGCATGAAAGTCATTTAGAGATACATGCATTATTAGTGGAAGCTTTAAGCCTTCCTGTATTTGTTAACTTCCTAGTTCTACAAAAATCATATCATAATATTTCTATAATGCACTATAAGGAAACTCCTACAAAGCAAACTATGAAGCGTGATCACAACGTTCTTGGAGCAGAAACATGTACCTTAACTTTCAGCTTAGGAGACCGTTTCCTAGCTCCAATGGGGAGGGGAGTGTGTGACAGGACGGCAGTGTGAGACACAGCCGAGCAGACTAAGCAGAGGCCCTTCACTTGGTCTCTGTGGCCGTCTCACTGTGCGTAAAGGGAGAGAGGAGCTGTTCACTATCAGTCAACGCCAATGGAAAAAGTCATCGCTATGATCCACTGTTTTATCTAAAAACTTTTATAAAAATTATGAAAAACCAGACTCAACCAATCCTTGTTCCATTTTCTGCAACACTGTGATTATATATTGGCCCTAAGAACGGTCTCATGGGAGGCTGGGCACAGTGCAGAGTCTTCACCCCAGCACTCAGGAGGCAGAGGAAGGCGGATTTCTGTGAATTCAAAACAAAACCAGGACAGCAAGAGCTACGCAGAGACCTTGTCTCAAAAATAAATAAAAAAAGTTCCAGGACAGCCAGGGCTACACAGAGAAACCCTGTCTCGAAAAACCAAAAGATAATAAATAAATAAATAAATAAATAAATAAACAAACAACAGAAAAGAATGCTCTGGTGGTTAATTACCCAAGTATAGAGGGGCTAGAGGATGGCTCAGTAGCTAAGAGAACTGGGTTCAAGTCTCAGAGCCCACATGGCGGCACACAATCATCTGTAATTCCAGTTGCGAGGGCTCTGATGCCCTTTCAGGTCTTGGGTACCAGACATACAAGAGGTGCACAGACTGAGAAGCAGGCAAACACTCGTGAACAGAGAATAAAAATAAAACTAAAAAAAGTTACAGAATGTAGTTCCCACAGTGGGCTACTGATTGAGGCAGTCTATTCCTAACAGTAATTTTAACATTGGGATGAAAGCATTTTAGTTAAAAACTAATGTTGTTTGCATGTACTAGTTTTAGTAAATTGTAACTATCTTGTAAAACCCCAAACAACAACTAGTCAACACTGGTTTTTAAAGTTAAGTATTAAGAACATTATAAGGTCTGGCATGCTGACACACACACACACACACACCTTTAATCCCAGCACTCAGGAGACAGAATCACACAAATCTCTGGAAGTTCAATGCCAGCCTATATATCTATATCTCAGGTTTAAGCCAGCCAGGCTACATAGTGAGACTCTGTCTCAAAAAAAAAAAAAAAGTTAAATATTTGTTTCTACCCACAGATTAGTGCTGACTTCAACCTTGGTCAGAGGTGTTCTTCTTTAATTCGTAATTAGATATTGGTAACTGGTCAAATGTTAAGAATAAGGGACTGTTGGGTGTGCAGTCCTACATGGGACATCTATCTATATTAACACCTCCAAAATTCAAGAAACAATGCAGAAGAGGGGACAGAAAAAGATGTAAGAACCCAAGGAAGGGGAGGACTGCTGTGAAGTGGCACCTTCTGGGCTAATAAGGTTGTGTGTACCCACAAGCTCACTGCAGATATGGTTTCACAGAGAATAAAAAGTATCAATCTGCACAAGGTCAGGCCAAGATCATCAGTCAATATTCCATCAGGTAGCAGTAACCAGATTGAGACACACACACACACACACACACACACACACACACACACACACACACGACATAAAGGTTGGCAAGGGGACCAGCTGGGAGATTATTGGCAAGTTGTTGAGAAGCGCTGGGAGTGAATACCATCAAGAAACACTGAACACATATCTCAAACGGTCAAGAGTAAATGTGTGACGGATGACAGCACACTTAGGATGTTTGCCTAGCCACATGTGCCACGAAGCACATAACAGGGTGGCCTTGAGTCTGTGGAGTCTGAGCAGGAGGATCAGGAATTCAAGGGTTTTGGGGACAGGCTCTGACTTGGCAGTTTCTGTGTGCCAACAATGACTCTGGACCCCTGGGTCCTCTCTGCACCTCCCGCATGTTAGGATTACAAGCATTTACTACAAAAATAGGTCCTTTGAACATTCACTTGGTAAATAAAATTTTTTTGAGAATTTTGTATATAAATGTAGTATGCATACTAGTACATTTTTAATATTTACTGAATTATACATATTTTAAAATACCATATATGTGGGGATTTTTTACTTTTTTTTTTTTTTTTTTTTGGTTTTTCGAGACAGGGTTTCTCTGTGTAGCCCTGGCTGTCCTGGAACTCACTCTGTAGACCAGGCTGTCCTCGAACTCAGAAATCCGCCTGCTTCTGCCTCCCAAGTGCTGGGAATAGAGGCGTGCGACACCACCGCCTGGCTCACTTTTTACTTATTCTTTGTAAATTTCACATCAAGTACTCCAACTATCAGAGTTTCTTACACTTGTGATCTCTTTTCATCCAAACATGTTTAAGTGACTCCAGGTATGTAGATATATAAAATAAGTATATATCAAACATTCACTGATAGTAAATAATAAAAAAAAAATTTAAAGTAATTCTTTGATAGCATACAATTTTACTACTTATTAAAGATTAAAACATACTAATAAGATAAAGTGCTTATTTATCTTTATATAAAAAAATATTGTTCCTGTGAGATGGCTTAGTATTTAAAAGTGTTTATTAAAAAACTCACAATAGGAGAAAACGGGTTTCTTTGTCCTCCTCTGACCACCGTATGCACACCACAATGAACGTGCCTGCATGCAGACACACAGTCTCTCCATTTCTCTCTAACAGTAACAATAAAGAAGTGGTTTTTGTTTTTTTTTATGAGGGAGTGTCAGTTGGCTTTTGTCTTTTTAAGCAAGGTCTTTCTACAGAGCCCTGGCTTTCCTGAAATTCACTATGTAGACCAGGCTGACCTTGAACTCAAAGAGATCCACCTGCCTCTGCCTCCTGAGTGCTACAATTAAAGGCATGTGCTACCATACCAGGGACAATTCTTTAATTTTAACCAGAGATATCTAAAGACAAAGAACTGACCATAACTTAATAATACATCTCCAAGAAATTATAAATATATAATGGTTGCTTCTGCAGCAGATATACTAACATTAGAATAGTGCGGGTAAGATTAGCATGCCCCTGTATAAAGACGGCAGGAAAATTCAGGGGTTTTTTGTTTTGCTTTTTACCACAAACTTGATCTGATATATGCCAAGCATGCCTTTGCACACTGGTATGTAGGTGAGAATGCACAGGCAAAACACCCATATAATAAAATAACTAAAAAAGTATAAATGCTCGTCATTGAAGCTACACATGGTAGCACAGCACAGGGCTGCAGTCCCACCACTGGGAAGCTGAGGCATGAGGATCAGTATGCAGAGTCAGCACAGGCTATACAGTAAGGGTGACCCTGTCTCAAAAAGAGGATGTGAGCTGGGAGAAGGGACTAATCCTGTATCATTCACACATCAATAAAACTTAGTGTTGGTGGGCTGTGATGTGGCTTTGTAATAGAATGCACGGCATGGACAAACCCTGACTGATTCTCAACTCCGCAAAACAGAAAGCACAAAGAGGAGAGAAAAGCCCACTAATGCTGAAAATCTTGAGGCCCTTGAGGACATGGCTGTCTCACGGAAGGACTACAAGGAGGCTGGTGTGGATTCTGATGAAGGAGAGGGCAAGGAAGAAAAGGAAGAAAGAGAATACTGAGTTGACGTATTAGAAAGGTGCTACTTTTATGAGAAGCTTAACTCTTTTTGTTTTGGTTTGCTTTGTTTTTGAGACAGTCAGTAGTCCTGACTACCCTGGAACTCACACTCACTAGGTTGGACTCAAGCTGGGAGGTCCATCTGCCTCCACCTGCCTCTGCCTCCTGAGTGTGGGGACTATCGGGATGTGGCACCAAGGCCACCGAGAAGCTTACTCTCTTCCACACTGGAAGTGAAGGTCTGATCAGTTAGTCTGTATGTAGTAGTGTATGCACCAGAGACACTTGGAGAGAGAATCTCTTGTACTGTACGGAAGCACCACCTGTCAATAAAATGCTGTTGGCCTATTAGCTCAGGCAGGTGAAAGTTCCAATACAGAGAGAGGATTCTGGGAGATAGTAAGGCACAGGAAAACTCTGGAGGAAGACAGTTCCATGAACCAGAGAACCAGGTAACCAGCCACATGACAGAACTTAGAAGAGTATACCAGGATGATTAAGTTATGAGCTAGTCAGAGGACAATCAAAGGCTTTTGGCCTAGGCCTTTGTTCATATATAAGAAGGCTCAGAACCATTATTTTGGGGCTCAAAGAGGCCTGCAGCTACAGATGGCTCCAAGTGGTTACAGACCTTCATTTTAATTATGAATGCTTTGTCATTGACCCAAGCTGTCCATTTGTCTGACAGGTTTTAAATAAAATTTCCATCTTTAATTTTTTTATTTTAATATATAATCAGCTATTAAAAATGTACTTAAGCATGATGATGATAAAAAGTATTATAGTTATAGTTAACAATTTAAGGGTCTAAGGGAATACTCACATGTCCACTCCAGTAGAATGCAAAGGACTGTGCCAGTTGACTGGAAGAAACTCTACCCTTCCAATCTGCTGATTTTCTTGGGCTTTCTTAAAATGTGTTTGGAGCAGGTTCAAGGAAACATTTCGAAAATCATTAACTAGAAAAGAAAATAAACGTATGCATCAGCAGCGAGCAATTAATACTCAGATTCTGGATGGAACAACACAGGGGCAGCCCCTGCTATGCACCCTTAGAACACACGCTGACTGGTGGCAAAGTTACTAGCCTAGGAAGAACTAGGACACGTAATTAGGAGAAGATTATTTAATATAAAGCTTGAGTTTATCATACAAAACACTATACAATGGAATGGGTTCACTTTTTAAATCACATGACTCCATGTCAAGAGTCTTGCAGTCGTGTTCCAACCCTAACTCTAGTTGTTATTGCTTTCCTGTTTGTTTGATTCTTCCATGTGTGTTTGACAGACACAGCATCAGTTAGCTGGTCTATCAAAACGGCTCAGTAAGTACTGGTGCTTGACACCAGGCCTGAACCCAAGAGGTAGAAAGAGAGAAGTGACTTCTCCAAGTCATCCTCTGACCTCCACAAACATGCTGTGCCACCATGTTCCCACACACAAATGCCAAAATGTAATTCTTTAAAATTTAAAAATTATTTTTTAAAAGAAATTGTTTATGAAAGAAAAAGACAGCAGGGAGTGCTGGCTCGCACCTTCAGTGCTGACACTCAGGAGGCAGAAGCAGGCAGGACTCTGTGAACTCAGACCAGCTGGTCATCCTCATAATGTGTCCCTGGTCAACCAGTGTTACGTAGTCAGAGCCCGTCTAAAAAGACACACAGGCAGACAAACATACAGACAGACACTCCTGGAATGGAAACAGGCTAGTAAACTAACTGGGAAGACAGCTACTCAAAAGTCAAAATTTTTATATTTATTTTTTTAAAAATTACTTTTAGACAGGCATAGTGATGCCTTTAATTCTAGCAGTTGGGTGGCAGAGGCAATCAGATCTCTGCAAGTTCAAGGCCAGCTTGGTCTACAGAGAGAGTTCCAGGACAGGCAAATGGAGAAGAACCCTTTCTCCAAAAAACAAACAAACAAACAACAAAAAATCAAAGTTATTTTTACTTTACTCATATGTGTGCTCTGCCTGCATGTTATGTCTGTACCATATGCAAGATTGCCTGCAGAGGCCAGAAAAGGGCATCAGGTGCCCTGGGACTGGCCTTCGGGGAGTTTGAGCCACCATGCGGGTGCTGGAATCCAACCTTGATCTTCTGGAAGAGCAGCCAGTGAGTACTTTAACTGCTGAGCATTGTCCCCAGCCCCTAATACTTTAGTTTTTTTGGAAAATACACTGTTGTTCAACATTCTCATCATATCAACCTTAACCTTGCAGATCATAAGGTCTAGTCTATTCAGAGCCATTCCCAAGTAGAAAGGCATTCCCACGTGAGACAAACTTTGAATACCATCAAACTCTGGAGATACTACCTTTCAAAATTAAGTTACTTTTGTGACTTCAGCTGAGGTTTGTCAAGAGGTTTGTTGTGCTATGAATTACAACACTGATAAGTCTCTATTATTACATGCCTATCCTTATGGTTCTCTCTAAATTTGGTTATAAATAGGCTGGTTAAATCACAGAAGAGTTTCACCAGGATTACAGGCTTATTCACTCACAGTAAATAATACTAGTTAAGAGTATTAAGTCTCTGGAAATCACTAGCCCTCAGGTCTAAGGGAAGCCTCACTCCCTTTTCATCTTCCTCAGCTCTACAAATCTTCTTACGCACTTAAGATAACAGACCACGGACAATGTCTGATCCTGCTCACAGGAGACGACTTTCCTCAAGTGAGCTAGCTTACGTGCTTTACAGACCTACCACATTGAACAATGCTTCGAAACCGAAGATCACAAGCTGGTCCAATCCCGTGGACTACAAACACTAAGTGATCTATTTGTAAAGGTTCCCCTAGAAATAGAATTAAAAAGAAAAATTAGAAACATTATAAATAAAACAAAATTAAAATATAGATAAGTTAAAATGTACAAAATAGTCATATATTTAACTACTTCATACAACATGAATTTTACTTTCTAGTTTTTTATTTTTGGTGACATTCACATGCACACACCGAGTGCACACACTCATTCCCCAGATGGAGTTCAATTGGTAGAATGCTTGTCTAGCATACACACAGCCCTACAGCTTTTGCTTGTTTTGAGACAAAGTCTCACTATGTTGCACAGGCTAGTCTGGACTCACTATGTCGACCAGGCTGGTCTCAAACTCAGAGATCCACTGGCCTCTGCTGAACCACTGACTAATGATACGCAGTACCATGTCCAGGAAGCCTAAGGTTTGATCCCAGTGTCACATAAAATGGTCAGAGCAGGGCAAACCTCTACTCTTAGCACAAGGGGGATGGTTGCAGGAGTATCAAAACTTTAAGGTTATCCTTATCTATAAAATGAGTTTAAGACCAGTCCTAACATACAGGAGACACTTGTCCTAACATACAGGAGACACTTGTCCTAACATACAGGAGACACTTGTTCTAACATACAGGAGACCCTTGTCCTAATATACAGGAGACACATGTCCTAACATACAGGAGACACTTGTCCTAACATACAGGAGACCCTT